GAATTATGAAATGTCATTTCTGTGGGATGGGACGAAAAAAAAGGAACGAGTTGCTCTTCTAGGGAGGGACAGGGAAGAAGCAAAATTTATGGCAAGTTTGTTCTCCATATTCGTCAGAAGTTGAATCTGAAAACAATTTTTACAAGAAATTGCAATACGAAAGAATAACTTCAGCAAATTCGCGCCTGACGATTTGTGCCCAGAAAATGGGCTTATGACAGGAACCGCACGAGGTGCCATGGCAAAACCAGTGCCAGTGTACTACGAAAAATTTCTTCAGTGACTCGCTGTGTGAATTCAACAATCAAGAAACCATTTCTCTGTGGGCGAGTAAGTCCAGGATGGAGCAGTGAACTGCAAGCGAGTTTGAACCAATCCAAATCCAGTCCTTGTCTCATCTCTAGCCGTAACCATTATTGAGATGGACAGGTCTCAAGCATACCTCAAGAGCAGTGAAACCCTTGCTTGTCTTGACACGCAGCACTTGTGCCAGTTGATTTTCCGCATCCTCATAATCTCCATTCGGCTCAACGAACCAGCGTCGACAGTCGGCCTCGGTTTTCTGACTCACTGGGCGGCAATAAACTTTCACTGTTTGCCCCTGTTAAAGGAGACACCATCAGCAATGCTTGTCTTTGGCGATTAATGAAGGAGAATCCTTGTCCATCAGAGCCGAAACTTCCGAGAGATACGTGACCGATTTTTGAATTATTTACAGTATAAGCATTTTTTTGTTAGCTGTAGACTTTGCTGCAAGCATTGCTACTTATGAGTTCAGTTTACTGATTTGGTTCTATCTGTAGAAAAACCAGTCCCTCCAGCAACATTTTTTCGTTTCGATGGTAAATCGGTACTTTCACATGTCAGGGAGGCAGACCTCCATTAACTGAGCAGCTTCTAGAAGAAAAAATATTCAAGTAGATGATTGTTAATGACAATGTGTGACCGACTGGGACTATTTTTGAGTGCTATTAGGAATTTTTGTCTCTGATTTTATACAAAAGCCAGAATCTCCTCCATATTCGTTCGTATGAACGGCGGCAGTCACAAAGTAGCCAGAGTGGTAGAAAATACCAATATTAACCATGCACTGGCAAAGCTGTTGATGGCTCCCTCTTTCGAGAATTCTTAAAAGTGTGCTAATTTGCTAGTGCCCATTCATCACTGAAACAACTGAATGAATCGTATAGAGAGTGGTTGTTCCAGTTTTATAAAATTACAGAAAAATAATTAGTTCCACTGAATTCTGGCTTCGGAAATGTTTAGTATCTTTCAAGAAAGCGTGAATGCAATTCGCCGGCACCGCAAAGCCTTACCCTTGCGCTTTGCATGCCATCAAGGTGTACATATGCAGACTGCGTGCGCCCGGCTCGTAGAAATCCCTGTGGAGGTTCCACTGTAATCGCTGTAGTGTTCGTTCGAATCTGCAACGAATGAGTAAGTTGCAGGCACGCCCTACTTTTGTGTTCATTCACTGACTACTTCTTGTTGGGATTCGTGGGTTTGATTCCAAGACATAGCAAAATATTTTGAGCGGCACACTAAGGCTTTCTTTTGAGTACCATGATTTCTGATTTTTTTGCTGGAAATTTTTTGCTGGGCATTCAAATTAATGTATTATGTATTGCAAAAATGCGTTTTTATTTATTTTTATGTGTTTTTTACACCTGTACAATGCAAAAACGCATATTTTCGAGGGATTGTTCGTGCATGCGTCGGTACCGATTTTTCATCTCGAGACCAACAAAAGCTACAAGGTCGAAACACTGGGAACTTAATCTAGCACTGTGCGGACACCTATCCCCAAAACGGACACTCTTTCCAACGTGGTTCTCACGTACAGGCTCGTAATAATTTTTGGCGGGTAAGTAGCTAGCTCGGAAACTAGAAAAGCTAGAAATTTGAGATTTTTGAGAGAATGTTCTTTCCCAGTCGTGGTGACCAGTCTCAGTTCTTTAGCTAGAAGCATTTGCTGAAAAAAATAATGCCGTTAGCGACATAAACGGGTGCAAAAAATATATCTTCGCACCGCAGTCGGTGTGCTGGCCAATTATTTGTTTTGTCTTTAAAAAACAGCTCAGAGTCGATGGATCTGACGCAACTGCGCTCAACCCGTGAGTTGCATATTAGTAACACCGCTAACAAAGGACACCCTTACCAAATAACTTCTCGTTTTGTTCGCTCCGCAAACCCAGTAAATTTCCTTGGCAAATTCTCTAATAAAGGATGATTAAAACAATAAGTGCTATATCGGCAATTTTAAAGATTTTTCTCCTCGAGTTAAGCGTGCCTGCTATTAATATAGTAAACGTTAGAATGTAGCCATCTGACCAACTGAAGAATGAAATGTATTTGAGCCGAAATATACTCTCTTAAAGTAAACGGTGCTGAGTCAATATGCAGAGCAAATTAGTTTACTGGGCAATTAAGCTTGCATGGTCATATCTCTGCAATCTGTAGCAAAAATGCACCTTGACAGCGAAATCCGTTTTTGAATTGTTACGAAGTATCAGTCGGCGAGTGACCTGTTTGCGAGTGGCCGGAAAAATGAGTTCCTTCGGGTACGACATCTTCTGCAAGAATCTAACATCCTATAACTGTCATATTTGTCCATCACTGTACCCACTAGCGTGTCTTCTTCCTTCTATTTCAGAAAAGCGCTCATTTCGAGCAGAAGCCCGAATACTCGATTTCATTATTATACTTTTTATCGTAAGTCGATTTAAGTTTTTGTGCCTTTCTACCATGAATAAACAAATCAGAGTTTGTAAGATATTACGAATGGGTTTGTTTGTTTGTTGTTGTGATTCAGCTCTAAAACTGCTAAAGCCAAAGCTGAGATTTCAAGAGCGTATCGGGTGAAAACAACGACGCCCACTCTATTTTGTAACAGAGCGAGCTAAAAATATGCGATTTTTTGGGACTTGACTTTTTGAGTTTGAATAGAATTAAATGGTTTCAAATAATTCGGTTTCTTAACCTTATAGCTATAGCACTTAACATTTCTTATGCCAAAACTTCCAAATAGAGTAGGCCACGATTCCAAAAATTTGCTTTTTTTCTTGTGACGGGTCACTTCATTCGAAACGAAAATTAGCCTATTTCGACATGATATAACTCATTACCTACCTACAAGAGGAATGACAACAATAGTAGCCAGTTCTACAACGCAAATGATGGAAGTCACCTGAAAGCTCTGATGCTCAGCAATCAGCGCTAAAAGAACGAACCGTTTAATAGAAAATATAAAAATTGAATGCCGGCTATAGCATCTGGACACTATTTATATTCAGACTCACCGCTGGCTTACTTAGTTCGATTAGAATGACAGCAGAAATTTTGGAGAGGGGGGAGGGGGAATTTGTAAAAGTGTCTGAAAATACGCTTCCTCAGAATTAACTCTCTGACTTTTGATATATAACTTCTTTCATTTTTATGCATTTTCGCATATTCATGCGACAATGAATGGACTATAGCACGAGCTTATTTTCTTGTGTATGTCTGTGCATTTGTTCTTTTACATGCTTCTTTGATTGCATAATTCAGCTTTAGAGTTACGAGGCTAAAAAGCTGAAATTTTGGAACTTGGCCTCCAGCTGCGCATATAACTCCAAACGACCAGGGTCTGTGTTCCCAAAATTTCAGATTTTGGAATTAGTTTGCTTTTTATTGTATGCTAATCAATGACTAAAAAAATAAATGGCTACAAAGTTACTGCCATAGAATGAAAGTACGAATCGGCTGAAGTCCATATCAAAGGATTTCTCGTTCCAATTAGGTTATAGTGAGACTCAAATAAAATCCAAAAATCCACTTTCACATAAATATTGGTTGTTACTTCTTCGTATGTTCCATTTCCGATCATTTTTCTCTTATTGTCGTCTGAAGTTCATTATGATTGCTTGTATTTATGACCAGATGTATTGGGCTCCACTTTTGTGTTGATAAGTCATGAATACCAGTATAAAAATTCTATTATAACCGCCCGAACAATCAAAAGCTCCCGCAGTTTGATTACAACTATCCCGAACCGTTTCAGTCCGATTTGCAATTGGTGCCCATCGTCTGCTTTATGCACACCATCTTTTACACAACTACAATAATAAAATTTATTCAGTTTTTATTTTCATCTGAACTGATACTTCTGTCACTGCTAAATATTCGTCCGATCTGAATCTTTGTTGCCTTACAGTCGTTTTGGCTTATCCTGGCAGTATTTATCCTTGCATTCTTGGTCCTTCGCGCATTCTCTATAAGTCTTGCCTAAAAAACAAAATATGTAGGGAAGATGGTGTAACGACGTTGTGAACAAATTCTGATGTTGCAAGAAGAATTAAATTTTTAAAATCATTGCTCTTTTCTGTTTTTGAGTGATAATTATCAGTTTTTATGCTTTTTTGCCGTGCAACGCTGGAGCGCTGCAACAGGCAGCAAAAACGCATACTGCAATGACCTTATGTGTGTATGTTTGTGTGTGTATGTGCTTGTCCGGGTATTTCAACTCGCCAATAACTCAAGCTTTGAAACTGAAATTTTGCTTGTGTATTCGTCGTCTAAGTGCCACATCAGGGCTGCGGTATCAACCCCTACGCAGGTCTGGGTCCCGCGTATGTCCACGTGAAAATTTTGGCGAGAAAATTACTAACTCGGGAGCAAGAAAAACTAGAAAGCTAAAACTTTAGGGAAAGTTTTCTACTCATATGCGATCAAAATCAGCTGTTTAAAAGCGCCCGCGACCCACATATGGGCACTTGAAAGTTTTGGCAGGGAAATCAAATCACTAACTCGGGGTTGAGAAAATTCAGAAAGCTGAAACTTTAGCGAACTGTTCCTATTCATGTACGACCAAAAGATTTCAGTTCAGCTCCCTGCTCTTCGTAAGTCTGAATTTAACAGTCCGGACACATAGAGACACCGATTACTTGTAGGCGCCAAGACATCCCCTATATCTTTTGGTCTATTTGACTGCGTTTCCTGGTTTAAAATTTTGCAGAAATTAAAAAAAAAAAAGCAGGAATGATGCTTTTGTTGGAACTTACAGTCCAGTGGCGGTTTCTTCAGTACATCACATCTTGGGGCGCATCTTCCAAGGCAACACACTCTGCCATCATAGCAGTCGTTAGTTTTCTTGCCTGAAACATGTCTATCTCCATTTTTTTCATTTTGAACTTTGAAAAAGCAAACTCATGTGTACCAAAAGTACCCCAACAACACTTGAGCACAATGCTAAACCAATATACTTCAGTCAGTTAGTCAATTAGTTCGGCCCGTCTTTTACTGTTTCTTCTTGTTTTCCATTATACTTCTCCAGTAAGGAAATCTGCACAGTTTGCTTTTATGATCAATAGAAAAATAATTGGCCAACGCAAGGGCTACCCGTGCAAAGATGCATTTTTTGCAGAGTTCCCCGCAGTTTTAGTCGCTACCGGCATCGGTTTTATCGCAGATGCTTCTAGCTGAAAGAATTTCAGATTGGCCGTCAAAACTGCCAGGAAACATCCCCTCAAAATTCCAGTCTTCTAGCTTCTCACATTCTCTAGTAACTAACCCGGAAGGAACTTTTCACGGGCTTGTACGCAAGTACCACACTTATCCGCGGGCAGGATTTGAACTCATTAATACCCACTTAGACAGGGAGCACCACCCTAAGATTTCAGCTTTCTAGCATCTTAGAACCCAGAGTTATGAATTTACGCGGGAAAAATTTAGGGGGGCTCGTACGCGGGTGCCACGCTTACACGGGGGCTGGATTTGAGCTCATTAGTACCTACTTGGACGGGGAACATTCGCGTAAAATTTCAGCTCTCTAGCTTTTGTGG